GGCGGCGGCGGGCGGGGCGCGGAGGCCGGTCGGGAGGGAAGGCGCGCGAGCAGGGAGCGGCCGCAGGCGGGAGCTGCCCCACTTGCCTCCTCCCGGCCTGAGCGCTCCGGGGCTGGGGGAGGGCGAGAGACTACGCCGGACAGAAACGGCGGTGTCACGGGGCCGGCCCGGGAGGGGGCAGTACCGAGGTTCCATCCTGGAGGGGACACCAAAGGGGATTCGGTCTGAAAGAAGGAGATACTGGGAAAGGAGCTCAGGGAAGGGGAAGAGAAATGCTGGGGTTGAACCCCAGAAGAGCTTGGTGTCCCGAGTTTGGTTTGGGAAGAGATGGGGGATTCTGAAATTCTTTTCCTGGAATAAGGGAATTAGAAGAATACTTTCTAGGACCTGGACAGTATTGGGGGTTTCACCCCAGAGGCTGAGGCTTCAGACCCACCAGAGACCTGTGACTGACTTTCCCCTCCCATCCAGGGATTGAGATTCCCCTCTGCTCCTTTCCCCTCATTGCCACACCTTCCCCCAGGCTCCTACAATGCTCTTTGCTCATCCGCTTCACCCTTTGGTGGCTGGGATGCGGAAAGTCGTGGCTCAGTTTACGTTTAGGCTGGGCCATGAGGCCCTAGGGCACCGCTGCCTGGGTCAGGATTTCCCATTAGATGCTCAACGCTGGTTAGGGCGGATCCTGGGGCCTGATGAACTCATGCTTATGAGGTGCTTTGAGATCCTCTGCAGGTGAGAAGTGTAACTGAGGAAGTGAGATAGGAAGAAAGCCTTTAAGAATCATGAAAATGCTGTGCTCATTTCCTCCCGGCCTCTGGCTCTTGATTATTGCTAACCAAGCACTTTTATATCATCTGATCCCACCACAAGCCTATGAGGGAAGCAAAGCAGTGTTACCCCCATAGTACGGAAGGGAAACTGAGGCCAAGAGGGGCAGGTGATTACCCAAGAGAAGAGAGAGAGTCAGCGGCAAAGGAGCCATGACCAGCATCCAGGTCTTGTCTTTGCTGGTCCAGGGACCAAGCCCCAGAGGTCAGAGATTGCCCTTGGGGCCCGCTGTGGGCTCAGCATCCCTGGACCCCCTCCCTGGGTCCCTAAAATGGCCTTGTGATTGCCCCACTAGAGTTTGTCTGAATCACCAAACCTGACCCTGGTCACACAACTTTCTCCTGGTCCTGGTCTCTCACTGTCCAGGGCACCCAGCCCAGTCAGCCCTGGCACACCGTAGACAGCACTCACTATAACATTATAGGTTGATTAGAGTGCAGAGTGTGACCTCCCCAACCTGCCTTACCCTCTCTGTGCCGCCAAGGGCTCACCTTGGCCAACCAAGGCCATCACTGACACCCTCCATCTGGGGGCCTGGAGCACGTCACTGTACTTGCTAGGACTCAGTTTCCCATGTGACCACCATTCATTCAGATCCCGCCCATACTCTGGAGCACCCACTTTGGATCAGGCACTGTGCAGTGCACAGGGATTACACAGGACCCTGTCCTCATGGTGCTGACAGCTCAGCACTAGCCCTAAGAACCCCACCCTTCCTTCTGAAGTTGCTTAGTGTTAAAGGAAAAATGTTACAGGCAGAGCTGAGAGAGCAATGTACAGGACCTTGGACTGCTGGAAAAAGTCTGGGTGCATTGGGTGGGGAGTGGGAAGAAGGAAAGCAAGCATACTCTGGCTTTTGGAAGGGGTGGGTGGGGAGAGGAATATTGGCCAATCTTGTCACCCACCAACTCCCTCAGCACCTCCTTCTCCCCAATGGCCAGGACTTGCTACATAATCCGTGGAACCCAGTGCAAAATGAAAATGCCAGGCCTCCCCCTTGTTCAAAAATTAAGAATTTCAGAAGGACAAACTCAGGACCCTTCTGAGTGTGGGGCCCTGTGTAATTACACAGCTCAGTGACACGCCCATGACGTCAGGCAGGCCAATGGCCGTATCATTCCTTGTGGAAGGATCCCCTCAAACCAGAATCCCCAGGAGTCAACCCATAGATTGAGTTGCCTGACTTGGAGGTGGGGAGAGAGGAAACGGGGATGGGAAGAGGTCAGGGTTGTGCTGCCTTCATTGCTCCCAACTCTAGTGTCCAGACATTCTCATCTCCCACCCCCAGCCTGGGCCACCCTTTGACGCAGTCCCAGTTTTCTGTCCTCTCCCCTAGTTTAATAGACAACAGGCTTCTGAAGCACCCAGGTAAGGCTAGCCTGGGAAGGGCTAGCCTTCACCCTGGCTGCACCTGAATCCCACCCTCTGGATTAATGATTGCTCAGCTCAGCTACATTTTTATGCCGGCCCTTCTATCAGCTTAAGGAACAAACTTCCCAGAAGCCCCTGTCAGCTGGGCCCAAAGTCCAACTTGGAACCAGGCTGTCACCTGACCAGGCAGGAAACTGCTACCCTGTCCACTGGAAGGAATAAATGACAACCAAGCTTGGGGCGTTGCCCCTGCAGGTCCTCCAGCTTTGCCCCTCTGTTCTTGGAAATCCCAGGGTCACCCTGATGTTGCCCTCACACCCATCTGACCCTTGCTTGGGAGACCTGCCTCTCATGGGCCCCAATCTTGTCCCCCGCTGGGCCTGGTCTCCTCCCCAGCAGACTCCTCACCTGCCTCTAGACTGAGCCGCCTGGAACAATGTAAGGCTGAGCCTCCTGCATTTTACAAGGAAGACCTGAAAGGAAAAGAGACTGCAAATCGCACAACCAGGGGTGGGAGCACCTGTGACTTCCCACAGTTCTTAGACCAATTGGAGGAGCCCAGAATTATAGTGGAGGGAGGGATACTCCTACAAAGTTGGGGATGTTGGGAAATGAATAGTATTCCCATTCCATGGTTAAGAAAGCCAAAGGAGAGGTTGAGTGACTTGCCCGCAGTCACATGGCAACCTCTAGGCAGAGCCGAGTTTAAAACTGATTTGTGTTCCTAATTGAGCACTTGCTTTGTGCCAGGCATTTCCCAACCCGCCCCAACTGTTTTCAAGGGCTGGCACCTTAATACTCTGGAGCAGGGGGGCTTACCCTGGGGCCACAGCTGGGCTCCCAGGAACCTCCAGAAATGTTCTGTCTAGCTTTGAATGCACATATGTGTGTTTTTCTGGGGAAAAGGTCCACAGTGTTAACCACATTCTCAAAGGGGTGACTATTCCAGAACAGACTAAGAATCTGTCCTCTGGTCCTTTTCGGTGGGAGAAGTAAGTAGGAAGGAGATCCTTGCATCTGGTGCCCTCCTCTCTCTCCTTCCTACCCACTCCCTGCCCTAAGCAAACCTCTAGGAGGAAAGGAGGAACCCAGGCTGGTCCTGGTCCCAGCAGGTGGCATTCCTGTATCCCCTTATCTGTGGCTCCTGGCATCTGTAGCAGCCACGTTAACATTTCAAACAACCTCCCTGCTGAGGTCTTCTTTGATCTTCCTAGCATCCTTAGAATTAGGTCTCAAGGGTAATTCCACCCATTTTCCCCACTAGAGTGAGAAGTGAAATAACGCCCCACAAGGTAATGCCAAGTGGGCCTTGGTAGCGGTGAGTGGTACTAGCTCCTAGAAGGGAGAAGGAGAGGGGGAGGAGGAAGAAGTAATAGCCACTACCCAGTCTCCAGTGTAGGGTTGTGTTTTCCTTCATTCTTGCAGCAAATATCTCCTGAGCACCAGCTCTGTGCTCCAAGCTTCCAGAGACTGACCATAGTTAGTTTAGGATTATATTCTCACTTTTAACTATGCACAGTTTGTTGTTAGTGCCAGCGAGTTGGCCCCAACTTATGGCGACCTTATGTATAACAACGAAATGTTGCCTGGTCCTGTGTGAAAAAGTGGTTTTTTAAACTTTTTCTTTTAGCTGTAGAATTTTCTTTTTCAAAAAAAAAAATTTTTCAAAACAAAAAAAAAATCCACCCTGGAACTCTGAAAGATAAAAGTAATATTTTATAAATATAAATTTATTTTATAAATCATAAAATACTTGCCATAAAGTAAATCAGTGGGAATGAGGGCATTTTGATGAACTAGAATTTTGAAACTCAGAGTTATGGGTGATGGTTATGGTTTTACCTGAGTGCCAATATTCAATTTATTGATGCAGTTTGTTTTTGTTGTTCAGTAATCAAAAAATACTGATTTTCATAGACAAGTGGAACAAATAGTAAGAATTTTAGCAAATGGGAAGAAATGTCAGGGGATGCTTTATTCTGAGGTCTTCACAGGAATGAGTTATCCAGCCAGCCCAGCTTAATGGCTTGTCAGAAGTTAGCACAGAGCCCATTACTTTAAAAAAACGTTTATAGGGATACATATAGATATATATATGTATGTATATACACACACATACACATATGCATATTTTCAAATTAAATTCTAATGAAATGATTGTTGAATGCTAGAGTGAGAAAACCACGTAGTGTAAAGGAAGGAGCCCAGTCACCAGATCTGGTTCTTATTCAGTCCTGCCGCTAACTTGCTGGGTGGCCTCGGGTAAGACACTTGCCCTCTCTGGGCCCCAGTTTGGCCATCTGAATATCCGATTTTCCCCAGGAAAGCATTGTGTGCGTGGCGGTATCTGTGTATGTATATATGAGTGTGCTGGGGTGTGGGGGTGTGGCGCATGTATGTGGAAGCTTCATTAACTCATCCTCACCGCCCAGTAGCATCCCAGTTCTGGGCCCCAAGAGGGACCGCAAAGGCACTGAACTGCCCGAGTTTGAAGGCAGAGGCGGGTTGCTATGGAGACATGGTTTGTTTCCTCAACTGTCTGGCTGCATCTGACAAGCACAAAAAGCCTGGCCAGATGGACAGTGACCTAGGCCAAGA